ATCCTCCTATTCCTTCCCTTTCAGTCCCCCATTCCCTTTCTTTTGTCTAACCTTATTCCCCCTTCTATGATCATCACTCTCATCACTCTCTTGTTTTAAGAGTCCACATATCAGGAATATGTGTGGTACTTTTCTTGCCAAGTCCGGCTGATTTCAGTCAACATGAAGGTCTCCAGTTACGTCCATTCTCTTACAAATGACATCATTTTTTTCTTTATGGTCAAGTAATACTCCGCTGTATGCCCACACCGTATTTCTGCATCCGCTTGTTCACTGATGGCACCTCGGCTGGTTCCAGCTTTGGCGGTTGTGGACTGTGCCATAGTAAACATGGGGATGCCGGTGTAGCTATCACATGCTGGCTTTAATTCTTTCAGGCCCATGCCAAGCAGTGGTAGAGCTGGGTCATGTGGTGTCTCTGTGTGTAGTTTTCTGAGTCTCCATATTGACTCCAGAGTGTCTGTACTAATTCACACTCCCCCTGGCAGCATAGGAGGCTTCCTTTTTCCTGAATCCTCTCCAGTATTTGTCTTTTTTTTTTTTTTTTGCGGAACCGGGGATTGAACTCAGGCCCTTGCACTTGCCAGGGAAGTGCTTATTCTACTGAACCATCTCCCTGGCCCCTTCTATTCTTGAAAATTGAAACTGTAGCCCATGATGATTTTGTCATTTTATTTCAGGGGCTGAGAGTGGCAAATATGCCCAAGTCTTTTCCTTCGAGCCAACTCCCCCCACAGGTGCTCGATCCCACTGCAGAGGGACTCCTGAGAGGCTCACACACTCCTGGGAGCCCTATGTAGTGTCTACTAGGGACAGAGCATGAGAGACCAGAATGTGGCTCTGCCAGCAGGCATATGGGGTATATGTCCCACACTCCACGCAGTTCCAACACTGCATTCTCCAGCAGGCCCCAGCTGGGAGTCCTCTTATTCAGTTTAATGTCCACACTGTCCATGGGGCTGAGGGAGCCCTGCTGGCTGCAGGCTCAGGGCCACAAGCCTGCCCCTCTCACATAGCAATCAGAAGCTCAGGTTGTCTTTCTGTGCCACTAAGCCACTCTCTATAAATTAGGGTTTCTTCAGTTTCCTCCGTGGCTTTAGTTCACTTGCTACCCTGGCCTCAGAGCCAAGGAAAATGCTGACTTATGTTGCTGGTTTATACATGAAGATAAACAGATTCAGGTGCCCAGTGCCCAGGCAGATGCTTAGCACAGCTGGGAAGGGGATGGGAGCTTTCAGCAGGCACTTCCAGCATTGGGTTGAGTCCCCTTGGGTTTGTCACTATCCTCCCCTGGTGTTGGGCCCTTGGGTTCGTCACTATCTGGCAAGCTACTCCACAAACACTATGCTGGTGGGTTTCTACAAAAGCTTTGTTATATAGATATCCACGACTGATTACACCACTGGCTCTTGGTGACCAACTTCACCAACCTGACCTGTTCCCTCCCCAGTGATTGGGGGTGGTACTGAAAGGCCTTTCCCTCTAATTCTGTCCCAGTCATTCTGAGATGGGGAGTCCCCATCCTGAAGCTACCGAGGGAGAGCGGCACCACCACAGCTCATCAGCATACAAAAGACACTCCTCCCAGCCCTGAATCCCAGGGTTTTAAGAGCTGTGGACCAGCAACCAGAGGCACAGACAAGTATTTCTTATTAAACTGCTTCGCTCTGGCATTGGGTGGGGATGGGGTGCAATGGCAGTACTCACACTTTAGCATGCACAGGGCTCACCAGGGGCCCCGGAGTGGGCAGGACCTGAGCAGGCAGGGGGTTCTCCAACCCCTTGACTCCTGGGGGCTGCAAGTTAGAGGCGCTGTGTCAAAGGGAAAGGCTGAAGGCGTGTGTAGGGCAATGGTTTCATTGTTTACCTCACATGCATTGGGTCCTAGAACTACAAAAGAAAAACAAACAGGTCCTGGCTGGGTGCTGCAGGGAGGCCCACATCATTAGTGACATAAAAGCTTGAAAGACCCCAGGATTCTGGGGTCACATAAGAACTCAATGGCCACTAGTAAGATCTGAATATACTGAGGGCTTTCTAGGAAAGTTTGGTTTTTGATAATGCTTGATCTTATGAATAACAGAGGTTTCTAGAAGCTAATTCCTCTTATTCCTGTATCCGGGTCTCTTCTCCTTTGTCTCATGCAGAGGTTGTTAAAGCTAAAGGCTTGCTTTCTGAGTTCTTCTTGCTTCTCTGCAATAACTACATTGCATACAGCTAATTAGTCTTTATGATCTGCCTTAAATATTACCAACATAGCTTGGTTCAGAGGTACCAGGCCAGTGATTTATCCTTCACGCTTCTTACCTCATGGCCACAGAATAGTTGCTACAGCTCAGTAAGACCAGCATCTCTTAATATCACCAAAAATCTAATCATATTCAGTTTTTCTTGATCATAGCTTTTTCTGCATTTGATTTACCTGAATCACTATAATATTACATGTAGTTGTTGCAAACAAGACAGTTCCGAATTTCTTTTTTTTTTTATTTTATTTATTTATGTGTGTGTGTGTGTGTGTGTGTGTGTGTGTGGCCAGCTCAGCCCACCAGGGGGCGGGGCTGGCTGACATGTGGTGCTGGGGGATTGAACCGTGGTCCCTGTGATTTGCTAAGCTTGTTCTAAGTAGGTGCTTTAGACCACTGAGCCATCTCACCAGCCCCCGAATTTCTTTTTGTAAGATAAAAATGAATTCCTATTTGTTTAAGCAGGATATACTGGATTTTTATGTTCCTTATAGTCAACATATGATACAGTATATAATTACGTTTTGAAACAGGGTCCTGCTACACTGGCCAAAGTGTTCTCACTCACACTGTGATGCTTCGGCTCCAGGCTGCCCAGTAGCTAGAACTATGGGCACATCCTACCACCCTTGGCCAGTAAGCACTTTTGAACTCACCATGCAGGGAGGTGATCCTCTTGCCTTAGCCTCCGGGGTGCTGGGATTACAGACATGCACTACTGCATCCAGCAACATTTATTGCCATCGTCTATCATGAAACAACATACTTCCTGTCCACGTGTGCTAACACATGCCTACAATTTCCTGCACTCTGGGAAGCCAGGGCAGGAAGAACAAAAGTTTGAGCATCCCAGCCTCGGCAACTTAGCTAGATCTTGTCTCAAAACAAAACAAAAAACTAAATTTTAAAAAGCAGCGAAGGAATTCAGAATATAGCTCAGTGTGGAGGTCCTGGGTTAAATCCCTAGTACCATAGAAAGAAAAAGGAGGAGAAGAAAAAGGAAAAGGTGAGCGGGAGGAGAAATAGAACAGAGGAGGGGAAGGAGGTAACTATAATTCCATTTATGGCTGGACATTTGTGTAGTCTGTTTTTACTATTAAGACAATTGCTATAGCACCTGTCACGGTGCTCATAGCTCCTTGTGCCTAGCAGCAGCTCCTCCCAGGAGAAAAAGGTCGGACTATAACACTGTACCTTCACAAAGCCAAGAAGGGGAAGAGCCGGGGTCGCTACCCGCCCTCCTCAGGCCTTCATGCTGTAGACCCTTTCTAAAGTTTCAAGATAAAAATGCCATCTTGTTCTAAGTTGCTCTCATGACACCGAGCGTTTCCTGGGGTTTGAGTAACCACATTCCTAGTTCAGTGTTGTGTTTTGTGTTGGGCATTGAGCGCAGGACTCAGGCTTGCTAGGAGCTCCGCCCTTGAGCCATACCTTAGCCCTACCTTAATCAGTGCTGTAGCCTTTCTCACAGTTGGCTGTACAATTTAGAGTGACTAAAAGGCAATCTCCAGGTTAGCCCTGTAGCTGGCCATGCTGTCTCCTCTTCCCCACCAGCAGGAGAGGTCATTGACTCCATTCCCTGACAAAGCTCACGAGACCCAGGATCAAGCAACTCCTCACCGGGAAACAAAAGGAAATGGTCCTGTATTTCGCCAACGGAGTTGGATAAAAACTGATAACAAAGTTAGGCACAACTTAATGAAGAAAACCAAACCAGGTCTATAAGGAATCACACCTGAAATGGATAACATTTCTGCTGTATCAGTGTTATGGTTGTGTCTAGTTGTCCCCCAAAGCCTCATGCAGTCATGGGGTAGACTTCTAGAGTTTGTGATTAACTCATGATCCCCTGGGACTGTGGGTCTGCTGGGCTATGGGCGTGAGTGCTGCACCAGCCTGGGCAGGTAGCCTGATTGCAACTTAAGGGAGACAGGCTTGCTCCTGTTGCCACTGTTGCTGCTGCTCCTGACCTTTCGCTCTTGCTGTTTTGCTGTTTTCTGCTGCCATGAACACTGCGTTCTGCCATGTGACACTCTTTCCTGGAGTTGGCTGAGAATGGACTGAACCCTCCACTAACTGTGAGATAAATAAACCTTTCCTTTCTTAATTCTGGGTGTCAGGTATTTGTCCCAGCAATGAAGAAAAGTAACCAAGACAATCAGTGTCACTATCATTTTGCCATACCAAGCTGTAAATGTTGTCACTGTCTGCTGATTGCACATGTTTTATTGGGAACCTAATCTATCTTTCTTTCTTTCTTTCTTTCTTTCTTTCTTTCTTTCTTTCTTTCTTTCTTTCTTTCTTTCTTTCCTTCCTCCCTCCCTCC